TTTTCTTTTTTTTTTTTAGCCCTGAAGCTCAGGGTGGTGTTTGTTATCCTGGTATAGTTTTGTAGATCTTGATAAAACAGAAAGCCCTGTAATTTTCCGACCTGTTACGCTGCTTACAGCTGCAATTGATTCAGGGATGCACAAGATGGGAATAGCATTCAGGTCTGGAAACCTGGTTTAAATGCTTGAGTTAAAAAAACACCTATTTTTCCAACTAGAAAATAGTGGCCTACAAATATAAAATGCAGTCGTTTAGGCTACTTACTGACATTTATGGAGATCATTTTGCGCAGTGCTGTAGGTGGCTGGGTCTGATTCAGTAAAACAAGCTAATAAAATCATGCTCAGCTCCCAGACCGAAGCTTGTCTCCTACAGACCGGCCTGCGAAGGCAGCCGGTGCTCTCAGAGGAACTGCACTCCTCATCCCAACGCACGTGGGCTTGCACCTAAATATTCCCTCCGGCGTCGCCTGGGGTCTGGTGATTGTTAGTCACAGCCAGCGCGCCCTGGAACAGTAGGAAAGGAAGCCAAGCATCCTGCTTCGAAGGTATTTTGCTTGAAGCAAGTCATTTGCTTTTGTTTTCCTCTGGAATTAGAACTTTTAAAGATGAGTAAAACATTGCAGGATAATTTACCTCTATTTGTACTTTGACTGCTGAAGACCAACCACAAATTCCTTAATCAACATCCATCTTGTCACTATAGGAAAGTAAATATGTTTTCACAGTCAAGGAGCAAAGAGCACATGAGCTCTTAGATTTGTGTTTGTTGCGGTACTTCAACATTTCCAGGTTTATTGATGCATCAGAATCTTTCCAGTGAGCTGTAAGGAACAGAGCTAGGAGAGTGAGGAATATGTTGTGTCCTGTCAGCGTGGCTGGGCAGACCAAGGCTGAACTGAGTGAAACGTCGTCTATAGCAATTGGATGCCTACGCTTACAGGAATTAAGCCATTTACCCTCTTGAGAATGTAATATTATTCACCTCTTGGAGAATTCCCCAGACTGAATGGACTTTAGAAGTTAGAAGAGTCAAAAGAGGAAAAAAACCCCACAATATTTTCTAAGTATCTGCAGCTTTCTAATGTGTTGTTTTGTTACGGGATCTCTCAGCTGGCCAGTAGAACATACCTAGGCTTGAGGGGACACAATTTTACTGCAGACTGTGAAGTTAGAAATGGACTACAGTAGAGGCTCTTACCTATTTTGTAGCTGTATGTATTTCTGTAGTAGTGAAATTGCATTATGAAGTATGCAGTTATATTCTGCATATGAAATAGAGTGTGGGATGGGAGACCTAAAAGATAGGATTTTTGAAGCTTATGTATGAATCTTGATGTATTTAAGAGCATTAATGGATGTCTTCTGATTGCAAAGGATATTGCCTCTACTCATGAAAGTGGTGGTGAAATACTAACTGCATCTGTATAAGAAACCGGAGTTTTTGAAGCAATTTTAAATGGAGAGCAGCTCACTTTGCTATGGGCGAAGCATAACATACTGTGAATATTACTATTTTCTGCTGATTAGTTTACTTCAGTAATTCCCTGGCTTGTTGGTATTTAACCTTTTAGAGGCATAAGGTTGCTCTCCTGGAGATATAGGTGTTACTCGCGGGCACTCAGATTTCAGGTCCTTTGGGTCCAACAGCTGAACTTAATCCAGAAAACCCTTTCATTATCTGCCCCTATTGAAGGACTGCAGGCAAATACATTTATTCCTGAGGATGTCTCAGACAGCACGAAGTTTTTATGCTGAACATTCTGTCAGCTTTTGCTAGGGATTCATTGACTAATTCCTTGCATTTTCAGTCGAATCTGATCAACCTCTCCTATCTAATTCACCATACTTTTTAGAAATTTGTTTATCAAATAGCTGCTACCTGCACCTGATTGCTTTTAAATGGACACCTGCTGACCTGCTGCTCTTACCTGCAGAACCTATGCTCTGCTTTTTGAAATGCACTCAGCTTTACAAAGACTAAAAGAGTTAATGTGCTGTGCAGCAAGCAAAATAGTCTTCCATTCGTCCAGCTCCTCTCAGTGGACAAGCGTATGGGTGGTAAGTACTGTCCCTTCGTCTGCTAGGAAGGGGTAACCCTGACAGCTGGAATATTACCATGTCAAAACCCAGTTGGTAATATGGCAATATGAACAGAGAAAGGCAAGAGCATGGTGCTTTGATCATCACTGTAATCAGGCCATGTGTGCTGCCAGCGCATGATTGTTTTTATGTAGCAAGCTTATAGGGAGCGTATTACAGGACTCAACGCAAGGCAGCTACAAAATCCTTGTAATTTTATCAAGCACATTAGACTAATGATGGCAAGAGCTGTATTTCCAGCAGTAGATCCTGCAACAGGCAGATACGAATAAACCAGCCCACCTTTCCCTAAAATAATCCCACATTTGAAGTCTTTCTCATATAGTCTTATTTCTGGATTACTTGTCGGCTATGCAACTTCATAGCTAGGGAATGGTTCTGAATTGAATGGATGTGTTGTTTAAAATCCAGTAGTTTGTTTTGGTTGTTTTCTTTCTTTTACATAGAAGCTTCTCTGTTGCACTTCTCTGTTTGTACTTCTCTAGAGCATAGAATGATTTTGTCTTTACAGACAGTAATTGTGAACATTAGCTTTAATCCTCACTGGGGAGATGGAGTGATGGGGAAGCACAGGCACAGCAAAGAGCTGGAATAGAAAATGAGAGGGAGAAGGGATTAGGGTGTAGACTGAGAAGCTATAGGGCTATAGGCCCAGCTATAGGCTGGGTGAATGGGGATGGGGATGTGACAAGGGACCTGCCAGCTCTTCTGTTGGGAGTCTGTAAAGGGTTCACAGAATCACAGAATAGTAGGGGTTGGAAGGGACCTCTGTGGGTCATCTAGTCCAACC